TGGTGGTCACCACACGGAAGGGCCTTGGTGAATATGTCTGCACTGTTGGCAACAGAGGCCACAAACTCCAAGCGTGCCTGGCCGCGTCGTTGCAACTTTCACAGGAGAAAGTACCTCACGTTCATGTGTGCCCTCGAGTCGAGGCTCTCAACACAGAAGGATCATGGCATTTTTGTCAGCGAACAAGGTCGGCGTAGTGCTCGGCCGCTCACCAAGGTCGGTGAGCAAGAAGGTCAACCGGCGAAACTCTTGCGTAGCCATGGCACCTGCGTAGATCTCTGCCTCTGCACTAGAGTTGCCACAGACAACGACCAAGTAGATCTCCACGACACAACTCCAGCGCCCAGGCTAGAACAGTGTCCTGTGTAGACCGCCGAGTCTGCACGTCGCCGGCGTAGGAAGAGTCGCAGTGATCGGTTAGCACAACTGACTGTATCCCTCCAAAGCACAAGCCCCATTTTTGATGTAGTCGCCATGTACTTCACCACCCTCACATCAGCCATACGGTGTCTCCCTGTCACAACAAAGCGAGACAGGATGCTGAGTGGAGGAGCGAGGTCCGGACGAATACAGGCCATCACGTACATGAGGCAGCCCACAAGCTCTGCGTAGGGTCCACTGGACTCAAAGGGTTCATAGAGAAAAGGGCCAATGAGTCTATGATTGACGGCAAGAGGAGTGGGTTGTTTAGTGAAAAAACTGGAACTCAAACTGCAAACATGCTGCACCATGTGTGACCTAATGGTGCGAGCGGCTTTGTCCCTGGTGATCTGCAAGCCAAGGTAGTGGCACAGTTCACTCAGGTCAGCGTACATGTGTCTTGTCCACATAGACAAGAACAAAGAACGGAGTGGAGCCAACGCGGACAAACAGCAACGGGTCGACAGACGAAGGACAGACCCCGAGGTCAGCAAGAGTGGTGCGTAGCGGGTTGTGCCATCCACGGGGCGCCTGGCGGAGATCATAGACTGGTCGAGTTAGGCTCCACTAGGTCCGAGGCGGGAAAGTGCCAGTGAAGCCAAGAGGACGCGCAGCCAGATCTCCTCGTGTAGGCGGCCCTGGAAAAAGGCAGTGGAGAAGTCGAGGGAGTGCAGCTCATAGGCTTGTTTTGCTGCAATGTGAAGTAACACCCGAAGAGTAGCCATCTTGGGGGTTGGGGCGAAGGTCTGGAAGAAGTCAACTCTCGCACACTGACTGAAGCCTCTAGCCATGTAGTGCACCTTGAAGATAGGTGGCGATCCCGGCGGCTGCTTCACCTTGAAGATCCACATGCCATCGAATACGTTCGCCGCAGGAGGAGCAACTGTTTCGACGTAAGTGCCTGTGGATCTCCAAGACGCCATCTTTGAGTCCATGGCCTCTATCCACTAAGAGCCCCTCTGCCCTGACTCGGCCTCACAGAACGTGCGAGGAGTCGGTATGTCAAGGGCGTCGAGGTCTTCCTCAGGGGCTTGCAGCATGGCATAGAGGTGGGGAGAAGCGGCTGCCAAGGCCTCCAGCTCAAACTGCGTATCCTCTAGGACGTCACAGCCAAGGGCAAACTCACCCGCGGCGGACGGTCCACCACGCGGGTGGCGTAGTCAAGGCGGCGGGTGGTGGCAAATTCAGCAGCAACGGTAACAAGAGCCGAGACAGACAACGAAGAAGTAGTAGGGTCCTTGATAAGAGAGGCGAGAACAGGGAGACAGCAGGACAAGCAGTGTGGTAGTAGCCAGTGATAGGGTGGGAGGAGGTTGTAAGAGACGAATCAAGAGGTGACAGGAGAATAGTCTGAGGCGGAGAATGACAAGGACTAGAAGAAAACAAGACAATGCAAAGGTCGTCATAAGGAGACGAGGGACGAGCACGCATGAGATAGTGAATTGTCAAGTCGTGCGGGACAACAGGAAGAGACGAATGTGATCGAGGAGGAGAGAAGACAGCTGTGGGCGAGTCTAGAGGAGAAAGGATGTGTGCCGTAGGAGGCGAGGAGTGGTCCGAGGAGGAAGAAGGGTGACCAAGGGTATGCCACTCACATATGCCACTCACATGAGGGAACAGCTGCTGCAAAACTGATGGCTGTAGTGTCCGCTGCTGCTGTTGCTGCTGCTGCTGCAGCTCCTGTTGCTGCAGCTCCTGCTGCTGCAGCTCCTGCTGCTGCAGCTCTTGCTGCTGTTACTCCAGCTCTAGTCTCTCCTACTCCAATCTCTCCTGCTGCTCACGCTCCAGCTGACGAACCTCCTGGAAACGCGTTGGGTAGCGGTGGGGAGGTGGGGTAGGTGCCGTGGTAGCGGTGCCTCTAGTGCCAACACCTCCAGTCTCCTCAGCACTAACACCTCCATCTCCAACACCCCAAACCTAGCACCTCCAGTGCCAGCACCTCCAAATCCAGCACCCCCAGAACTAGCACCTTTAGTGCCAGCACCTCCAACTCCAGCACCCCTAGAACTAGCACCTCGTACGCCAGCACCCTCGGCTCTAGCACCCCCAAAACTAGCACCTCCAGTGCCAGCACCCTCTGAACCAGCACCTCCAGCGCCCATGCCTCCAACACCAACACCCCCAGGGTCCATTGTGAACTGTCACGATAGTGCCGATGGCTGTTGTGGTGACTGGGTGGTACCTGACGTGCTACCGAGGAGTTCAGAGTGTTCACCGGGAAACCAAGGAAGACACAAGGGAGAAAGCGAGCTGAGAGCTTGTCTGCAGAGGTGACGCGGACAAGTGCAAGGCAACCCCAGACATGATACTCAGATGCAGCACCATGGGACCTGGTCCCAAGTCTGGTGTGTGAAGCCTCTGGCTGTGAGACACGAGGCCATAGGTTCAGCTAGTGGGCAGCGTAGCAAACTGCAGGGCCACAGAAAATGGAGAGCACGGGCATGGATCATAGAGGTGCGGGAGATCTCCATGACCAAGCCTATGCGGTGCTCAACAACCCCATTCTGCTGTGGGGGCTCCAGAAGCGTCCAAGACTGGGTGATGCCCTGCTCGCTATAGAATCTGGGAAGAATGACGGAGCGAAACTCACCCACACGGTCAAAGTGGAGAACGGACATGAATATCACGAGTGGCCTCAGTGGCCAGCAACCACCTGATCAGGGTAAAAGTCACGTCGGACTTCTTCGCCAAGAGGGACACCGTGGTGTAACCAAAGTAGTCGCCAACGACCACCAGAAAAAAGCTCTCCCTCTCGGGCCCAAGGAGAGAGGCAGGGCCCCAAACGTCCAAGTGGAGGGTTTGGAAGGGTGCGGTGGCCGGACGAGTAAGGAGTGGGGGAACTACAGCGGCAGATGCGGAGGCAACGGAGTGGATGTTGCTCTCGATGTCCTTGAGAGCCGTCTGAAGGACATCAATAGTGAGCGCACTAGGGTGCCTCCGAAGAAGCACGTCACAAACAGGGGAAGGCGGCCAAGGAGGCTAATGACGATGAAGTGAATAGTGATCGCCATGGGCAGGGGTAGTAGTGCAGCTCAGCCTTGGTGCAAGCAGCACGGTGGTTGACATCGAGCGAGCGCAGGTGGGTGAGAAGGTCAGAAGCGCGGTTAAACGCTCCTAGTTCGGGAGACAAAAACGGCAAAGCGACCAAGAGAGGCGGAGGAGGGAGTGGAATGATGGGTCTTAATCGCAGTGAACATGTCCTTGGCGGATCGAACCTGGGTGAAGTGAGCCTCCTCAGACTCGCGGAGAAGGATGCCGAGTGCAATGCAAGCAGCCGCGTCACGAGACTGCCACACCGATAGGGCTAGAGACGCCAGGCACGGAGAGGCACTAACCCTAACGTGCCCTAGGGAGGTCGACTGCGGCGGCCAGCCGCCGCGGGGAATGGCTATGGCAGCAGGTGCGCTGCCGGAGGGGCGTGGAAGGGTGCTGCAGCTGTGGGCGCAGTAGGTACAGTTGCGCGTGCGGCGGCGGCAGGCGCGTGCGCTGCTGTTGGTGCGCGTGCAGCAGTGCGCGTGCCACTGTGCGCCTGGCGGCTGGCATACGCGCGGCTGCTTGCTACGCACGCATTTGCTGCTGTACAGGGCGCTGGTAGTGCGTGGCTGCTGCTGCGCGTGCAGCTACGTGAGTGCGGCTACGTGTGCGCGGCTACGTGTGTGCGGCAGCGCGCGTGGCTGCTCTTGACGGGACGGGGTGGGTAGTGTAGGACGGGCAGCGCGGAACGGGGCGGGTATCGCGGGCCAGGCAATGCAAGGCGGGCAACGCGGGGCGGGCCGCGTGAAACTGGGCGGGTAGTGCGGGCTGAGCAGCGCGAGGAGTGCAGCGCACGGGGCGGGCAGCGCGGGGCGGAACGGGACCAGGCAGTGCGCGGCTACAGGGCGGGACGGGGCAGCACGCTGTGCGCAGCTGGCTACGAGTGGGGCGGGGCAGGGCGCGGCCTGCTAAGGAACGGGACGGAGCGGGCTAGGCTAGGGAACGGGGCGGGGCGGGCTAGGCTAGGCTCGGAGCGTTACCTACTCGTGGTACCAAAGTGACAACGGAATGATGTGACTAGCAAGATGGGAGATACAAATACTAACCCTAGAAAGTGTTGTACTCCCCACAGCCCTACTCATTATAGCCTATCAGAGACAAGGGCTGCTATTATTATTTTCAGCCAATACCAGCTGGGAAAATAGGGGAATGTACAAATGTTACACACACACAACTTGCTATCTGTAACCACATGGCAACCCATGGCCACTGGCTGCAACCACAAGCACAGAAGAGAGAAAAGAAACTTGAGAGTACACCCACACTACTTGACAGCTGTATCTGGTGCATCATGCTGAAACCACCATTACCACTGATGCCACCACCACTGCCACTGCCACCACCACTGCCACTGCCACCACCACTGCCACTGCCACCACCACTGCCAATGCCACCACCACTGCCAATGCCACCACCACTGCCACTGCCACCACCACTGCCAATGCCACCACCACTGCCAATGCCACCACCACTGCCAATGCCACCACCACTGCCACTGCCACCACCACTATTACCTCCGCTGCCATAGCACGTAAACATCTTGCCACTCATCCTCCAAGCAAGGCGACTGTGACTGCAGCCACTGTCTCCCCCGCCCTTGCAGCAAATGGGGCTTCTTCCATCACCAATATCACTTCTTGCACTCTTGGTACATAGGCAGTGACTGCTGCTATTGCTGCTGCCAATGCATCTACTCTTTGAATTGCTGTCATTGCTGCAGCTGTCACCACTGTCATAACAACTGCAGCTGTAATAAAAGCCACCACCACCAGCGTCACTGCTGCCACTGCCAGCACCACTGTTACCAGTCAATGTAGTCTCACCAACCCCACTGCAACCACTGCTACAGTCAGTGGTGCTACAGTCAGTGGTGCGACAGTCAGTGGTGCTACAGTCAGTGGTGCTCCAGTCAGTGGTGCTACAGTCAGTGGTGCTACAGTCAGTGGTGCTACAGTCAGTGGGACTACAGTCAGTGGTGCTCCAGTCAGTGGTGCTACAGTCAGTGGTGCTACAGTCAGTGGTGCTACAGTCAGTGGGACTACATTCAGCGGTAATACAGTAGGCTGTGTTACAGTCAGCAGTGTTACAATCAACGGTGCTACAGTCAGTGGGACCGATACTCCCACAGCAGCCAGCACCCCAAGCACCACCTGGAGAGCAGATGTCTACCTCTGCAGCCTCACTGCACCGCTGCGCAGCACATTCATGCACTGATGCTTTCAAACACGCCTCCTTACCCTCCACCTCCTCTCCACCTCTACGGTGAGTCCCACGTCTGCTCTCTTCCTGTAGGTTTGGATTGAAAGGCGAGGAGGTGTGAGTGTGACTCGCCTCAGTGCCAATGCTTCTCCTCCTGCTCCCACTCCCACTCCCCCTGGTCAGCCCAGCCATTTTCCCCTCTTCTCCTGTTTCCTCGCGCCTGCATTCACTCCCACGCACCATCTCCTGAGTAGCTAGCCTGCCAGCAGCACTGGCACTGCTGCTCTGACAGCACGCATCAGCATGGCTGCTTTTGCAGAGACTGTTGGGACTGCTTGGGTGGCAATCAGGACAACCCACCTCATGCCCCACCTCATGCTGCCCAACCTCGCCTTCCACTCCGTGGATTTTCACACATGCCTTAACCACGTGCACCTCTCTCATGAAATCCTGCACTGTTGCTTCCCAGCACGCTTCCTGTCCTTCGACCTCCCCTCTCACGGCTGCCTCACTATGGCGTGTGCTCTGTTCCGGTGGCTCTGGGTTGAAAGGCAAGGAAACGTGACGCGCCGTAGCGCTGACACTTGTCCCACTGCTACACCCCGTGGTCAGCCTGTGCACCTGCTCCACCTCTGGTGAACTCTCACTCCTGCTTGCACTCTCACCCACCTTCTCCTGCACAGCTAGCCTGCCAGCAGCATCGGCACTGCGGCTCTGACAGCAAGTGTGGGGTTTGCTTGCATGGCACCCAGCGCAGCACTCCGCACACCCCACCACATGCTGCCCATTCGCGCCGTCCTTTGGATGCGTTTCCAACCACGCCTTTTCCACATGCACCACTCCACCACTCACCTTCCCCTCTGCTGTAAGACCCTTCCCACTCCTGCGTTCACCCGTTCCGCCCCTGCAGTCAGTCTTACTACCCCCCTCCCGCACCACTCCCTCTCCGTTCTCCCTCGTCTTTTCCTTCCCCCACTCCCTCTCGTGGCGCCCACACTCGCCTCCACACGCTGCTCTGACCCACGGGTGATTCAGCACCTCATGAGCCTTGAGCCTTCGCCCAGGATCCGTTACAAGCAGACACCTTAACAGCTGCTTAGCCTCCCTCGAAATGCCCTCCCATACCTCGCCTTTCAAGTCCGGCGCCGAACCTAACACCGAAGCGAAAACCTCACGGTGAGTCCTCCCGTGAAAAGGCACAGTACCTGAAATGTTAGTGGGATTGAAAGATGGCAAACACATTCAGCGGTAAGATGCGAATATTGTGAGGGATGTGCAGCAGGCAGCACCTTCACATGTCCTTCTCACCAGCTTCTTGAAAAGGGGGTTCTTGTGTGATCTCACCGGCAAGAACCAGACAACCAGATTACCATACCATGTGTATAAATTGCAACGTACCCGACAGGCAGGTGTAGAGAACGCAGCCGAGGCTCCACATGTCGACCTCCCCCGCATAGGGCCTCCCGCGGATGATATCAGGCGCCATGTACAAGGGCGAGCCCACCACCCCACACGCCGCTGTCTGCCCGCGCGACAGCGTCGCTGCCAGCCCGAAATCCGCCACCTTGACTTGAATGCCCGTGCAGGGACAGGGAGGGGGGCTGGTTGCCGTGATGGTACGAGGAGGAGTAGTGGTGGGAGAAGAGGGCGTTGCTGCCAGACCGAAATCAGCCACGTTGACTCTCATTGCCGTGCAGGGACACACAGGGGGGCTGGCTGCCGTGGTGACCGGAGAGGGAGGAGGGGACGAGCAGAGAGGAGGAAAAGGAGGTGGAGGAGGTGCAAGAGGAGAAAGGGAAGCGGTGGGGGAAGAGGGTGGAAGAGAAAGACAGGGGGAGGAGGGATGGGAGGCGAGAGAGGGGGATGGTGGGTGGGAGTTTCGTGAGAGGTGGAAAGGAGATGATGGAGGGAGAGCAGGGGAGGGAGATGATGGAGGGAGAGCAGGGGAGGGAGATGATGGAGGGAGAGCAGGGGAGGGAGATGATGGAGGGAGAGCAGGGGAGGGAGATGATGGAGGGAGAGCAGGGGAGGGAGATGATGGAGGGAGAGCAGGGGAGGGAGATGATGGAGGGAGAGCAGGGGAGGGAGGTGGTGAGGGAAGCGGGAGGAAGGGAGAGGATGCTGGGAGAGTAGGTGAGGGCGAAGACTGCAAAGAAGTTTCCCTTATGCTGCTCCCTGTGCCGTTACTGCTGCTGCTGCTCCTCCTCCCAGTGCTTGTGCTGCTGCTGCTATGTCTAGCAGAAGACGGGACTGAACTTATGGAATCTTTAAGTGACTGTAACGAGGGAGGCGTGTCACCACTGCAAGTCGTATCAGTCTTGAAATCTTCCCTGCAATGGGAACATCCCTAGCTGGTGCTGCTGTTCCCCCCACTGCAGTTCCCACTGATTCTACTGTCAACGCTGGCATCACTACCCCCATCTTCACTGCAGTTGCACTCAGCTACAGTGCAACGGCCTCTACAAGCACCGGGGCCGCTACTAAGGAGTATGTTCTCTGGCTTGAGGTCGCGGTGCACTATGCCCATGCGATGCATGGCGTGCACTGCCAGCAGCAACTGCCTGAGAGGGGACAGCATGGGGAATAGGAGGCAAGGAGGAGGCAAGAAGGGCATGGAGCAACTGAGAATCCAGCAGTCAGAATGGTCTCCGCAAGGGCAGTGGTGCGTGGGGGTGTGAGGTGGTTGAGAATCGGTACTCCTGACATGCCCTGTGGTTGAGAATCGGTACTCCTGACATGCCCTGTGGTTGAGAATCGGTACTCTTGACATGCCCTGTGGTTGAGATTCGGTACTCCTGACATGCCCTGTGGTTGAGATTCGGTACTCCTGACATGCCCTGTGGTTGAGATTCGGTACTCCTGACATGCCCTGTGGTTGAGATTCGGTACTCCTGACATGCCCTGTGGTTGAGATTCGGTACTCCTGACATGCCCTCTGGCAGGGGCGGAAACAACACAGGGCATGAACAACGGCGAAATCATGCACTCACGAGTGGGCGGGGGGATGGGACGGGGGAAAGAAAGGGAGGGGGGGGGGATGGTGTGGAAGAGGAGAAGGATGAATGGGGAAAGTAGGTAGCCCTCAACAGAACGCCGTTCGTTACCCCTCAACCCAATTATGCCTGTATTCTCTTGTTTGAGGCGGTGGGATGTTGGTTGATGAAGAAAGGGCGGGTTTAGAGGACATAAAGGGGTTTTGTGGGATGGGCGTGCACCTGAACGGAGCTGCAAGTTGTGCTTCGTTCACTCGTTCCTGCTTTATAACGAGGTCAAATAGATCGTTGGTGCAGAGGCAAAGGGCGGTAGCGAAGAATGAGGGAGCGTATGCGCCGGCTACATACATGCGCCAGCGTATGCGTAGCGTATAAATACCTGAATACCGAGGCGGCTTGTGCTTCGGTAAGTCGCTTCTGCCTTATAACGAGGTCAAACAGATCGCCACCCTGGCAGTATTCCAGGATGAGATGTAACGCCGTCCCCGTTTCAACCACCACCTCGTACAACCGTACGAACGCCAGCTCCTCCCGCTCCCCATCCGCGCTGCCTGCTCCGCATTCCCCCCCTTCCCGCTCCCCTGCCCCCTGTTCTTTCCCCCCCCGTTCCCCCTCCCCCTCCTGCAGGCGCAGCAGCGACAGCACTTCCGCCCTCAGCTCCATGAGGTCGCTACTGTTATAGTCACAATAGGCTTGAATGTGCCTAAAACGAAAGATAGAGAGCACAGACGGATTTCTGCACAGCGGCTTCAAACGTTGATAGCGTTCTGATCACAGCTGCAAATGACTTGATTCAAATTGGATCTGGAGCGTCCTCACGTCGTCTACAATTAGCAATTTAGATTGCACGTTTTGATAAAGAATTGACGACACAGCGTCGGTTTGAACGAACGGTACTATGGCAGCCACTATAGTCTTAGAACACAAGATAGGAAGAGTTACGAGTTGGGAATGACTCCCAGCTCCTACAAACCCCAAGAGCCGAGGTACAGTGATGTGGAACAGTGCCACACTGTCCCCAACCACGAAGGGTCTCGAAACTACCCTTCACTAGGGCCTACACCAAGTGAAATGTTACACTACACAAAGTAATGTAACTATCTTCAATATCTTGAGGTGTACCCTTTTTGGCGAGCTTCGAAATCACTTGAGGCTTGACACCAAGGCTCGGGCTCTTCATCACAAACTCATCCTTGAGTTCTTGATGGGTCTGCTGCACACACCTGCGACACGCCGAACGTTCGACACAGGACAAAATAGAAACCGCGCACGACAAAATAGAAACCGCGCGCGAGACACAAACGACCGCGTAACACGCGTCTAGCGATAACTCGCTATTGACTCGACACACACACTCGACATCATGACTCAACATTCACACACAATTATAAGCATGAAATATATATTATCCCATGCCCTCATACCATTCCATACACACACACATTCACGCACACGGACAACAAGCCGAGTGCAAACCGTAGGGTTGCACCAACAAACTCCCCCTCGGATTGTTGGTCTTAGGATATGTTGCTCTCTCAGTTCAGAGCCATCCCAGCCAGCTTGCAACACTTCCAATGCTGCTGCTCCACCAGCCTCTTGGTCATCATGTCAGCCGGCTGCCCCGTGGTCTTCACGTAGAGCAACTCAACTTCACCCGCGGTTACCATGCTCCTCGTCCAATGCCACTTCACCCTCATGTGCTTCGTGAGTCCATGCAACACAGGGTTCTTAGCAAGAGCAATGGCACCCTGGCTGTCACAGTACAGTGGGGTAGGTCCTTGCTGCTCCTCCCCCAATTCAGCCAACAAACGCCGCTGCCACACAATCTCTCGTACGGCACGGAAGAGTGCCATGTACTCGGACTCCACCGAGCTCAAAGCTTGGTCAACCTGCTTCTTGCTCTCCCAAGCAGTTGGGCCTCCACCAACACAGCATATGAAGCCTCCCACACTTGTCATGTCCTCTGGTTCTGATGCATATGAAGCATCCGAGTAGGCGGTGAGGAACAAACGCCCGGGTTCAACACCATCCGCGCCCTTTTGGCGCCTTTGTGCCGCCGCCGAGTATTGCAGCCCAACGGTCGGTGTTTGGCCAAGATACTTGGCCACCCTCATTCCAGCTGCTACCTGCTCCTCATTAGGGCATTGCACAACCCTAGCCAGCTGCCCGGTAGCAAACGCGACGTCCGGTCGGGTGTTTACCGCCGCATACATGAGGCTGCCCACCAACGAGTGAAATCGGCGCCTCTCCTCTTCACCAACGCTCTCCTCCTCTGGTCCCTTCACACACTTGAACCCAGAGGGAAAGGGTGTAGCCACATGGCCTTCACTCTGCCCAAAGTTGGCAGCCAATGCCTCCAGGTACTTTCGTTGATGCACCCGCATGCACCGCTTCTCCACATCTCGTTCGATGTGGAGCCCAAGGTAGAAGCTCACGTCACCAAGGGCCTTGCACTTGAACTTGTCTTGAAGCTTCAGCATCACCTCCTTCACAAGGTCAGAAGAGGGTGAGAAAATGAGGATGTCATCCACATAAACCACCATGAAACTCCTCTGCTCCCCCTCGCCAAGCATGAACAAGGAGTGATCGGCCGTTGAGGGAGTGAAGCCGATCCCCTCCAACACTTCGCGCAGCTTCATGTACCATTGCCTAGGGGCCTGCTTCAGCCCATAGAGGGCCTTCTTCAACTTCCACACTCTGCCACTACCATCATCAAACCCCTCTGGCTGCGCCATAAAAATCTCCTCCTCAAGGATGCCGTTAAGGAATGCCGTTACGATGTCCATTTGCTTTACTACCCATCCTTTGATGGCGGCTCCCGCGAATAGGGTTCGCAGCGTCGTCGGCTTCACCACCGGGGCAAACAGCTCCTTGAAGTCCACCTTCTCCTTCTGCTGGTACCCCTTGGCTACAAGCCTAGACTTGTAGCGCTCGATCTTGCCGTCGGCATCCGACTTGATTTTGAAGAGCCACTTGGACGTTATCGCCGTACGCCCCTCCGGTAGCTACACCAATTCAAACGTGTCATTCTCCTCGATGCTCTTCAGCTCACTCTCCATGGCCTTCTTCCACTCCTCAGCATCACTACTCTCCAAAGCCTCCTTGAGAGTTGCTGGTTCTCCCGGCATCTCCACCGGAGAGAAGAACGCGAAGGCACACTCCTCGTAGTCACTCTCCTCGTCGTCTCCGACCATCATTGCCGCTCCGGCCAGGGCTGTCTTGCCCTGCTTTCCCGGCGCATCATAGGTCAGCCTATTAGGGGGTTGAACTCTCCTCTTCCCCCTTCCTTCCTCCTCAGCTGCAGGGACTTGAAGGCCTTGGCGTTGCTGCGGTGTGGCTCGAATCCGTGGAGCACTCGTAGTACGGGAAGGGAGTGACGGTGCACGCTCGCTCACTTGCTGCACCTCCTCCTCTTCTTCCTCTGCATCATTGGCCTCCTCTCCCCCATTCACAAGGGAGGATTGCCTTGTGGTTGTGCTGCCGCTGCTCAGCTCCAAAGGCAGCTCCACATGCTCCAAACCGGAACTCTTCACCTCCCCAAACCGCACGCCTATCTTCGCCTCATTCTCCGCCTTCCAATCCTTGTACATGAAGTTCTCCATGAACTTGCAGTCCCTGCTCACCAAGAACTTCTTGGTGAATGGGTCCCAAAGAAGCCATCCCTTGCTGTTTTGAGCCATGCCCAAGTGCACGGCCCACACCGCCTTGGCACCAAGCTTGTTGTGCCGAAGATGCTTAGGCACGAGCGCCATGCACATGCACCCGAACACCCGAAGCATATCCACCTTTGGCTTCCTTCCTAGCCACTCCACATAGGGCACCCATTTGTCTGCTCCCACATGAGTCAAGGCTCTGTTCTTGGCCACACACGCGCTCCGCACCGCATCAGGCCAGAAATAGTCGGGTAGCCCGGCTTCAATGAGCAACCCGCGTGCCGCCTCCGCGATTGTGCGGTTCGCTCGCTCGGCGATGCCGTTCATTGCAGGGGAGTATGGCATGGTGAGGGAGTGCCGAATACCATTCTTCTTCAGCCACAACCCAAACTCCTTGCTCAGGAACTCTCCCCCTCGATCGGTGCGGATTGACTTGACTAGACGGTCTTGTTGCCGCTCCACCATCGGGAACCAATCCGTCTTCAACGTTTCAGCCACGTCGCTCTTCTTGGCCAGCACGTACACCCAAGTCATGCGGGTGTAGACGTCGACAATGGTGAGAAAATACTCAGCTCCAGCAGCTCCAAGCTTCAGGGGGCCCACCACGTCCATCACCACCTCATCAAGCGGTGCCTTTGCCGTTGCCTCCGAACTAGGGAACGGAAACCGGGTGAACTTGGCTTGAATGCACGTCGGGCAGCCAAGCACCTCATCGGGCTCCCCCTTCACACGTATGCCAGCAACCATCTCATTCTTCACTAGCTGCTGCAAGATGGGCAGGGCCACATGCCCCATGCGCCGATGCAAGGTGAGCCAATCACACTCCCCCGTAGCCGAAGTTGGATTGGAGAATGCCGCGCTCGCAATAGCGCCCCACATACTCTCTCCGTAGTCCTCCTCCGCTGCTGCCTCTGGGTTCTCCTCACCCTTTTGCTGCTCCTTGGTTGCTGCACCACTCTCCTTAGGTTCACTGAACTTGCTGGTCCCTCCAGGTTTGCTCTTGTTGAGCTCATTCTCCTTAGCGCGACCGTTCGCGCCATCGTCGCTACCGACCGCTCCATCCTTGGTGCTGATGCTTGCTGCCACTTGCCTCTCCTTAGGCATAGGGACCACTGGGATCTGCCACATCTCGTTATAGACATCCCTGTCCTCATGAAGGTCCCAAAGAATTCGATCGCCAAGCCTTGCGGTGTAGGTCTTGGCTCCCTTCGAGTTCGTGTCCATGCCGGCCTTTGCCAACCGCCGCACGGAAATCAGGTTTGCAGCAAGGCTGGGCACCCAAAGCACGTTCTTGAGGCCCACCATATTCCCATCAGCACCCTTGAACATGGCCTTGCCCATGCCTTTCACCTCTGCTCGCTGCCCCAAAGCCGATGTGACATGCTTCACCAGTGACGGCTCGAGTTCGGTGAGCAAGTCCGGGCGAGGTGTCATGCTATAGGTAGCGCCACTATCAATCACCCAATAGTCCAGGGGGTGTAGGGTCACCTTCCCCACAGCTGCTGGCTCCTCAAAGCCTTCATCCTTCTCTGGACCAGCCGGTACTTGCGTCGACACGAAGTAGAATAGACCCGGGTATCGATCGTCGCTCGGGTCCTTGTCGTTGTCTCCGCTCTTCATGTTTGCAGCTCCGCCACCGCGACCGCCACGGCCTCCACGGCCTCGTCCTCTCCCTCCTCCTGCTCCTCTACCCTCTTGGCCTTGAGCAGGGGTCCAACCATCAGGGAGTTTGTAGCAGTCGCGCCACATGTGTCCGCTCTTGTGGCAATAGTGACACTCGCCGTCGAATCGGCCGCGACCGCGTCCGTAGCTCTTGTCGTCGCTGCCGTAACCGCCACTCCTGCGGCCTCCGCCGAAGTTGCTGCCACCAAACCTTCCTCCCCCTCGTCCTCTGCCTCTTCCTCGACCATATCCACGGCCGATGCTCGCTGCCCCAGCGCCATCCGCACTCGCCAACTCACGGCGGCGGAAATCCTCTTGAAGGATAGCTCGCTTCACGTCTTCAAGCGA